TGAGGAGCTGGTGCTGGAAAGAACCATCTGAGACACTGGGATGGGAAAGGTGGGAGCTCAGGGATAAGGTCACGCCTCACCAGAGATTCCTAGGTCTCTTCAGCAGCTTTTCACCTCAGATCCCATTAGTGTCACACAGCTGAATGGAAGAAAAAGAGGGCAGAGGTGGGGGACTTCATGCTCCATGATGGATTCCATCCTCCGAACATCAGCTTTTGGAACACAGGGCCACAGGACCAAAGGGGATGCCACTTACAGCTTGCTGGCTAGATAGAACCTGCTTCAGTTCCCAGAGCTCAGAGGAAGCTTTGAGGCAGGGCCATAGCAGGATCCTCCAGTGATTATTTCCCTCATGAAGAGTTTGCCAGGAAGCTGATGCCAAATTATCTTTGTCCATTTCCTCAAAACAGGCTGTGGGTCCTGCATTCTGGCTCACCCATTTTCCCCACCCCCTTTTCATTCCATCCTCCTCTTTCAGCAAAGATTTTTTTCTTTCAAGTTAATTATGCAAGTGATACATGAATATATTTCAGGTCTAAATGTGTCAAATTTAACAAAAAAAGTTGAAGTTATGGGAGACATCCATCATCGCCCATACTGTTTTTAGCTTGGTGTGTCCTCTTCTAGACTTTGTGCTATGGTGTAAATACAGATCTGAGTGCATATGGACCAACGGAATACATCTCCATTGTACATCCAGGTGTATGCTATTTCACAGCTCCTTTTTCCCTTTGGCAATGTGTCTTTCCACGATGGTACATTTAGGACCATCTCATCTCTTTAACTGCTACAGAGTATTCCATAGTTTAAACATAAAAACACCACTGCACTGAGGGGCCTTTAGGTGGCTTTCAATTTTTTTGCTATTCCATTCAGCCACAGTGGACCCTTGCTCTCTCCTCTGTGAGCACAAGAATATACTTGGAGAGTCAGGCCTGGGAAGGGAATTGCTGGACCTGAAGGAAGGGAGAGGCTTCTGTGCCACCAGATCCACCCCCAGGACGGGTGCTCCCTTCTCAGACCTTCTCAAGCCTTCAGATTCAGAGCCAGGGTGCCAGCCTTCTCTCCCACACTGTCCTGAATCAGTGTGCAGCTGCTCGTGGAAAGAACACCGTTTCCCAACTAGACTATGTGCTCCCAAGGGGCCTCACCGGGTGTGTCTCTGGGGACACCTCATCGCATCACAGGAGAGTAGCATGGCAGATTCAGTGATGCTGAGCTGAGGCCCCTGTACCACCCTCACAGCTGGAAGCCTCCTCCTCCACTCCCGTGAAGAGCAGCAATGAGCAGCAGGAAGTCAAAGCTAGCTTTTCTGAGTGGGGGCTCTGTGCGTAGCCCCTCTCTTCTCTATACAGTCAATGTCTAGTGAGGAGGCTTGGATGCTCTCCCTCCCCTAGCCACCCTAAGCCCCCACCTCAGCCTCCATCCCAGGCGCTCCCTGCTCTGTAGCATCTATCCTCCTGAAGCCACTCCTCTCCCCTCCCGCCAAGGCTCTGCTTGGCAAAGGGAGCAGACATAGTCCCTTCATGCACTCTGGAGCCGGCAGTTCTTGACTGCCTATCCGTATCTGCCTTTTTAAAAGGACTATAGTGAGACGACTCATCCTCAGGCAGACTATCAGGACTGTCAGATGTGGCACTGGACTGGCTGAAGAGATCTCTGGAGAAAGGCTGGGTAGGTTTGCCCCTGGCGGTGCCTGTGTAAGGCTGGTCCATCCTGGCAGAGGTGTGGACACAGGAGAAGGGAGTCTTGACTCTCTGACGTCATGGTCCCCAAGAGTGACTGAGCATCACACCGCACCCTGCAATTAGAGAGCTCTGCGGCTGTTAGTACTCATTGGCTAGTGAGACTCCCCGCAAACCTCCTAAGGTTACTACCCCTGTGTATGGAAACTGGGGTTCAAAGAAAGGAATCAGTAAGAGGCTCCATGGCCCAAGGGTTTTGCCTGAGCACAGCTCCTGTCCAGCACTGTGCATCAGCCTTGAGAGGATGGCCACCTTGAAGGAAAGAGCAGGGAGCTGACAGTAACTGTGCTGTCAGGCACTGAGGGAATGCACTCAAGGAAGCTTTGGGGACGAGAACGCTCCCAGGAGGAGCCACCTATCAACTCTCAGGGCAACTTAGTGCCCCCACCACTATGGAGCCCAGCATCCCTCAGGGTCTCCAGAGCTTAGGTCGGCTCCCAGCAGCTTCCAAGCACCACTTCTGTGTGCCCCCTTTGCCTACTGATCCCAAGAGTGGCCATGGCTTTGGGGATTCAATATCCTTGACAAATGTGTCTTGAGCTCCTGTCCTGTTCTGGGCACTGAGAACCAAACAGGACTAGAACAAAAACAAGTCCCTGACCTCATCTAAGCTTAGGGAGACTGCCAATCAAGGCGCAAATATACAATGTTATTATGTCAATGGGAGTATCAAAGAGAAGAGTAGACAAGACAAGGGGTCAGAGTACATGCCTATGTGGCAGTTGGGGAGGCGAAGCAATGATGGGTTCAAGGAGACAGTCAGGAGATGCTTGGAGAAGGTCACACTTGGACAGAAACCTGTGGGGAGAGAAGGAGCAAGCCAGACACAGAAAGGGGTGAGGGTCGCTTTGGTCAGAGGGAACAGCCAGTGCAAAGGTCCTAAGGTAGAATGTGTCTGGACAAGCTAATAGGACAGGAGATTAGCAAAGGGAAGCATGGAAGGAGGTGGAGATGTCATGCAGGGTCTGAGGGTCCCTCAAAGATTCTGGTTCACAATGAAGCTGTGAGCTCTCCCAAGAAAACCATGGCAAAAATTCCTGGAAGCTGGACAAAAGCAACAGATTTTTTTTCCCCTAGAATTCTTTCCTTTCTATCCTGGGCAATAGAAACGATGTGGCCATTTTCTCCCCTCTCCCCCTCCTTTTTCTTCTCCTCTTCCTCTTCCTGCTTCTCCTCCTCCCTCTCCGAACCTGCCCCTGACCTTGTCCCTAGCTGGCTTGCTTGCATGCAGCGAGACAGTGTCTCCTCCTAGTTGCAGGACAAGGTGGAGGACAAGGCCAGTGAAGGGACAGGAGGAAAGAGGCCCCTGGAGAGGCAGGCAGCAGCACGAGGGACAACGTCACAGAGGCCTCTGACCGCTATTCATTTCAGTCCCCTGGTGTCTCCATCAATAACCGTCTGCCATGACCAGGAGGGAGGGCTGGGGAGGGAGGAGGAGGAGGGGTAATCTGGGGTCTGTGTGGGGATGGGTGAGATGGAGTGGAAGAGAGTCTCCTTGGCACTCTGCAACTCCCAACCTGGGGCAGGAGCTGGAGGCGGCAGAGCACCCACGGGTAGCTGAGAGTTTCCGTCTCCCTGGTTTCTCTCTCTGCTTGCTTCTTCCCTTTGCTGCGTGCCCCTCACGTACAGATTCCCTTCAATCTTCACTCTGAAGCTGGGAGGGGAAGGGAGGTAGGCCCAATGTCTACACTGGAAGAGGGGGAAAGGGGTTTTCACTGGGTGGTGGAGGAGTCAGAACTGCAGAGGACGCTGGCAGCACTGTGTACCCGGGCAAGAGGAGGCCAGAGCAAGCCTGGTGCCAACAGCCCACAGGCCTCATGAGGAGAGGGTCTGAGCCGTGGGGCCTAGCACACAATGGGCACTTGGAAAATAGTTGATAAATGGCTGTGAGAATGACCAAATGGCCAGCTGTGGACAGTCAAAAAGGGAGGTTGGCTTGAGATGGACTAGGTCGTCAAGGAGGACTACCTGGCATAGGTAGAACTCTATCAGAGTCTTGAAAGATGGATGGGATTGGAAGTCTGACAGACATGAAAATGAGAAGAGAGGGCATACCAGGTGAGAGGACTGTGAGAGCCAAGCATGCCGGGCAGTGGAGCAGAGCGAGGGAGGGAAAGAAGACAGTGAGGCGAGGTAGCTGGCCAGCCTGCAGGGGGCTCAAGCTTGCTTCTGGCCAACGTTGGCCTGTTAATTTTCTCTATCGCCCTGGATCTCACTGGCCTCCCAAGCCACACTCAGCCAATCTTCAGGCAGAGCCAGGGCCCTACACCAGGAAGCTGAGGGAAACCCCCTAAAAGACTCTTCCTTCAGCAAACATTCTCTTTGCCTTGTCACCATGGCTGAAGGGAGAGCATTTAGAAGTCACCCCTTAGTTAAACATGTTGCTCTGTGAAATCGAGATTCCCTGGTGAGGCACTGTGAGAACTGCTCCAGGGAAAAACTACACTGGACCTTGGAGACCACTTGGTCAGCCCTTGCAGTCCACACGTGAAGAGACTGAGGCACCACAGGAGATGTGATTTGCTGGGTCACTGAAGGAATCAGAGACAGAACAGGAGTTGGCCTGAGGTCCAGCACGGTGTTGTTGGTGGGTTGGATATGCCCAAGAAGCCCTGTGACTGGGAGGGGTGTGAAGATACCACTGCAAATGTGATGTCAGGGGCTGGGATGGGGGACACATGGACAGTCTCATTCATGCTATTAGGGCAGCCTGGCCTGGGATCCTCTTTACAAATGAAACCTTTATTTGGCAGGGAAGAGGGTCCCTCCATCATCCCCGGTGGAGCAGCCGGCAGCACTACTAAGGGGCCAGAACTAGAGTTCAAGGGCAAATGTGACTAGAGGTGCTGGGGGAGAGGGTCAGAAGCTGCCCTTTCTGGGAGGTATTGGGGCTGAAACAGCAGCTGCAGAAACGGGGAAAGGGAGGGAGGAAAAGGGCAGAGGCGCCTCAGGCACCAGGGCTCAGGGACAGGAAGGGACCCGCGAGCAGAGGGGGCGTGGTGGGGGAAGATGCAGGGTGGGGAGACTTCACCGGCCGAGTGAGCAAAACAGGAACGCAACGGGAGAGACGCAAAGCAGTCGGGCAGGAAAACGGAGAGGCAGGAAAGCTCCAGTAGATTGCACAGGAGAGAAGGAGAGGTGGGGGAAAGGCACCAAGAGCAGCGAGGGGCTGGAGGCTGGACGGAGGGCGGGAGGGCGCTTCGGCGGCCCCGGGGCGCCCCACTGACCCTTCTCGGCGCTTGCTTTCCCCCCTAGGCTGCGCTTTCCTCACCTACTGCGAGCGTGAGTCAGCGCTGAAGGCCCAGAGCGCGCTGCACGAGCAGAAGACTCTGCCCGGGGTAAGTGGCGCCCGCCAAGGCGGGAACGACTGACACGCCGGCAGGGGGCGACTGCGGGAGGCCGGGCTGCGGCGCGGCCGGCTGTGGGATCGCGGGCCCGGGCGCGCGCTGCCGGCCCTCGCTGGGAATCCGCGCGCTGCCCTCAGGCGAGGAGAAGCCGCGAGGGGCCGGGCCGGGACCCAGGCGCGTGGGCGCCGAGCGCGGACCCCGCCGGGCGGCCTCCGCACTCCGCCGTCAGGGCCCGTCGGAATCCCGGACTGGGGGCGAACTTGGCCGTGGCCACAAAGCTCGGCGCAGGGCCGACGCAGGCCCTCCCGGGAGCCGCCGATCGGGGGCCTCCTCTGCTCACCGCCGGAGCGGGCAGCCCCGGCTGGGATGCAGGGTGCCTGGGGTCTCGAGAGCCAGGAGCTGCCTCCGCCCGCCCCGCGGAGCCCCGGTGGCCCGGTCCCCCCTCCCGCCGCCTTCGAGCACCTGCCGATCGACGTCGGACACGGGCTGTTTCTGGGCTGTGGCGGGAGGGGACGCCTCCCTGCCGGAGCTCAGCGCCACGAGTGAGATCACCGCGGTTTATTTAAGGAGCCAGCCCTAGTCTTTGATAAACTATCGCGCCTCATCCCTGGTTTATAGCTTCTGTGCGGGGGAGAAGAGAATTATTTATGGCCCCCCTAACTGGGTGTGATATCAGCCATGGCTATTATCGAGGCTAGTTCATCACCATAAAATAAGAAGTGCTCCTCAGGTCAAGGGTCTGCGCCGTCTCTCCTGTGGATTCTCAGAGATTGGGGGTGCGTGGGAGGGGGGGAGATATACGGCTCACCGAGTATCTAAAGATAAATGGAAAGATGTGAGTGTTTGTGGGCATAGTTTAAAGAATTTATAAACATACCGTGCTTATACAGTGGACACTGAAGGGAAGCATGCGTGTTCTGTATGTCTGCTCACCACTGTTTACACATGCATGTTTACATTCTTACCAAGCAAATCTGTATGTAAATACACGTTTCCATTTCTGCCCCACGCCAGGAAAGGTTAGCCAGGTAGACAGCAAAACAGGGCAGCCTTCCTTTGCATCAAAGAGCCTTCTATACCCATTTAGGGGTGGGGAGAGCCTTTCTTCCATTAAGACAGCCTTTGTACTGTATTTTGGTATTTATGATTGCAAAGCATGGGGCTGAGTCATCTTAATAACACACCCGCAGATGCAAATGTGTGGAAATCATGCACTGCACAGGTTTTTGTGTGGAGCCCAGCTCTGGCAGGGTGGCCATTCCCTAGTTGTTTTTTCAGTGGCACAGCTCCATGCACATATATTATAGTAATTACTTTCTGGATGCCCTCTGTAAGGTGGCAGAAATATGCTCCACATCGCCCCACGTTATGTGTGAAACATAAAGCCATATTGTAAGATAATCAAAGGTTTCTGAGAAAGGTTTGTGCTGATTAATAAAGTGTTTATGGTACTTTGTTTTGGGAGAGATTGTGATAGATATTTTAGAGCCACCCAAATGGAATAGAAAATACCACATTGTTATGGGAGGCCCTTCATCAGCTTGAGAGAGATTGGTGGGGAGTTTCGTGATGGCTAAAAGCTGGGAATTAGATGGGGAAACAGAAAGAGAAGGTGGAAGGAGGAGGCTTAGAATTTTGAAGGGGAAGAGGCAGGGGACTTGGAGAATTTCAGTAGCAAATGTGGATTGTTCAGAATCTAACATTAACTTGTGGTTGTTTATTTTACATATAATAGAATAGGTAAATGATGGAGTGTATTAGTTCTTTAATAATTTATAGAAATACTTTGATGTTGCAGTAATTACATTAAAGGTCACATATCAAAGGTAATTTGGTTGAGCAGCTGTGATGGTTTCTCAGAAGCAATCAATACCACTGTCCGTGGTGCTGATTTCACCAAAGGGCCTGCCAGATTAAAGCAGGCTTATTACCAGGTCGAAAGACCCAGGGGAAATCAGGAGCACATTGGAGTGACGCACCAGCCCCCCTTCCACTGATAATTAACACTGTTCCCCATAATCTGTGCTAATCCTTCATACTGGGAGATCCAGTGGCATTTTTCTGAAATCACAAAGACAAGCTGGGCAAGTTTCAGAGAAAGGACAGAAAGAAATGTAAATGTATGTTGGGAGATGGGAGGGGTGAAGAGAAAGGCCAACAGTGGAGCGAAAACATAGCCTAGAGTCCCCTTTTGGTGCCTGACATGCCATCCTTTCTTCAAAGGTCTCACCAGGAGTTTCATGGCCTCGGAGACCTCATCACAATTCTCATGGCAAGCACAGCTTATGGGGGGAAGAGATGGGGAGAAAAGACAGGCTTGCAGCTCAAATTTCCCAGGGCATATTGTCCCTACACATACTCACACAAAGATAAGTGAAAAGCAAAATGACCAATAAAATTATGCTTGTAAAGTGCAGTCATTTGCATTCCAGAAAGCAGAACTGGTGTTATATTGTTGGTTTGTTCTCTCTTTTGAGATTAGAGAAAGTGTGCCCCTAGCAAATGCAGGGACAGGACAACAAAATGCTCTCACCCAACCAAATAATGGGTGTTGCTATCTGCTGAGGCTATGCTCATGGCTGCCTGTTTGGCTGGGGCAAAGAAAAACCTCTTCTTGTTTGGGGTAATCATACTAGGTGCCCTGGTGAGCAAGATCTATGTCTGATTAAGAAGAAAGAGATTGAAAAAAGAACCTAGAAAACTGGTAACCTCAGCAATTGAGGCACTTTTCCAGACTTCAAAATCCATTAAAATCAATCCATTAAAACCAGCTCTCCACTTTCTCACTGAGGAGAGAAGATAGTGCAGGCAGCCCATTCTGTTTCCCAGCAAGTTCACAGCTAGCATCCTGTCGGCAGCAAGGAAAGCAAGCCCATTGTTGTAGTGCACACACATCACCACCACCAAAACAACAGAGACAACTAGAGATACCTCTCTCATGTGCATTTGGGGACTGAGAAGAGGAGCTGACATTTCTCCTGGCATAAGTAAAAGCTCAGAAGCCAGACCACAGTGACAGTTCTTATGAGTCAGAGGTCAGTATCCCTGGGAACCAGCCGAACCAAAGTCCCTCGAATGACCAATGAAGTCTTCCTGGACCAGTGTCACAAATGGATTCTTGTCTTTGAATTTGGCATGACCTTGGTAGAATGAGGTCGCTAAACCACAAAGTCTCATCAGGGTCCTTCTGAGCAGTGTCTAATGCCAGCATCTAGGCAGAGTGATTCCTTTTCTAAACTCCATCTCTCTCCCTCACACTCTGGATCTCACACTCTCTCCTGGTTGCCTGTACCTCTCCAGCCCACCCACTTCCACACCCAATGTTTGTCACACAATTTATAGGGTACAGTCAACGTGGAGCAGTTTCTCAATCTAACAAGTATTTCCTGAATGTGTGTTGGACACTGATAGGTATCTTGGCAGATGCAGAGGTAAGAAAAACATATTACCCACCCCTCCTGGAGTTGTTCATCAAGTTGGAGACAGAAGTCACATGCACACAAAAAAATATCATCAATGATATAGGACAGCATATTGTTACAAAATGGTACTATGGACAATTGCTCAATAATAGTAGTTAATATTTATTAAGCACTTACTATCTGACAGGCATGATATAAGCATGTTACTTTTATCTTCACAACTACTGTATGAGAAAGATAATCATGATCATCACACACACATGAGGAGACCCAGGTTTAGAGAGATTAAGCAATTTGCCTAAAGTCATGCAGTTAATAATAATAAATAATAATAAAGTTAATAAATGAGCCAGGCCCAGCCCCAAGTCTACTACCAAAACTCAGGATAACCCAGTTAATAAATATTAACTACTATTATTGATAACTACTACTGTTTAGTGCCACCAGTTGCTTTAAAGAAGATCCAGATGATTATGGGGTGTGGGACTTGCTCAAAGGTTTTTTTCAAGATGTGAGCAGGGTGGCTGTGGGGAAGACAGGAATGTCAGATGAAAGCACTGGTCTGAGAACCAGCCTAGATACAAGGTGCACATGGCAGGTCGGGAGAGGCTCGCTCTGAGAGCTCCCTGGGGCCTGAGTGTGCACAGGAGGCCTCGTGGAAGAATTGTGTTCCTTAAAATAGGCCCTTGCTGCTTAGTTCTACCTCCCCTGCCTTTGGGACTTTGCAGGGAATTGTCTTCCAGGAAGAACCCATCGTTTACAAAGTTAGAAATGTAAAGCCTGTGGGGAGAGTCTCCGATTAGAGAAAACCAGATGACATGGCCAGCAGCGGCCAGCACTCTGCCCCTCTGGCAGCAAAAAGGGCTCCTCACCAGGACTGCTGAGGGAGAAGAGCAGGGGCCCGTTGGGAGGAGGCCTGGAAGCAGTGGGAAAGAAGGAGCAGGTAGAGGAGAGAGCAGGAGAGGGAGTGGTAGGGAGAGGCGGGATGGGGAGAGTGGGGAGCCGTGCCTGCTCGGTAAACATTAAAGTTCCAATTCTCTAGTTAAAGATTGGCTTTTGTGCCCTCACTCTGGCAACCCGAGAACGCACAGCAAACCAACATACTCCTCCCCGTCTGTGTCCCTCCCCCATTCCCTGTGGACCGGCAACATCTCTGCCATCACTCCTCATGCCTCAGGTCACTGCAACTCAGGATGGGTCACGTCCATGGAAGTTCAATGTGACCTTCTTTGAGCATACCAGGAAAGATGTTAAAATGGAACATTAAAAAAACAACAAAAAAAAACAGAAACAAGAGCTCAACTGGATTCTAGCACTGGGTGTCTCAGCATGTCTCTATCTCTACAGTCTTTCTCCCCCTTCCTCTCACTTTCCTTTTCCTTGGTCCCATTTTGTCTTTCTGTCTTTCTCTTCTTTTTCTCTTGATGCCTGTTTGCTCCCCTTCTCTCTCCCTGCTGGTCAATTTCCTCCTCATCTTTCCCACCCCTCCTTCTTTATCCTCCTCACCTGCCTCTCTTTCCTCTCTCCTCCTCCTTCCCTCCCTCTCTCTCTCTCTCCTGCCCAAACCAC